TGTAGTTGATTCCTAGGGGGTTTGACTCTAGTCATTCAATCATTCCCTGGTTGTCTTGATTTGCCTGGGGTATATTTCTCGGATTTTGTTGAATTTGGTTAATGGTGGTATCTTCGTCGAAAACTACCACTTGGTTCTCTATCATATACTCTCTTGGTGGTTGTCGAGGGGGATTTGGTACACCAAAGAATTTTACAAGGCGCGTCATTTGCGCTACTAATTGTTGATTAGTTTGGATAGTATTCTAAATAAGAGGCTGGAAGATTTCCCCTATAGTTTGGGACATCATTTGAACCATTTGAAGGTTACTCTCATCCATCTGTTGTCTTAAGTATGATGCATAACTAGTTGTCAAATTTGTCATTTGGGAGGAATACTATAATCCTAAAGTTTGACTATTTCGACTCATATTTACCCTAGAGCTCGATCCTTGTAATGACGAAGTCATTATGGGTTCTGTATATAATGGAGGGGTGTTTTGTAAGTTACTCTCATCCATCTGTTGTCTTAAGTATGATGCATAACTAGTTGTCAAATTTGTCATTTGGGAGGAATACTATAATCCTAAAGTTTGACTATTTCGACCCATATTTACCCTAGAGCTCGATCCTTGTAATGACGAAGTCATTATGGGTTCTGTATATAATGGAGGGGTGTTTTGTAAGTTTGCCATCATCGAAGTTGGAATTCCATAGGGTGGGTCTTGAGGGGGTATTGCAAATTTAGGAGGAGGGGTACTTCTGAATACTGAAGCCCCTATTGGTGGTGGAGTCTGTGGAGGACCCCTTGGCCCAATATAAGTCAAAATAGGTTGTGTATGGGCAATCGAATGTGTAGGTATTGAACTTCCCATAGATGGTATTGCTTCAGAGACTTGCGTTGAGACCGTTGGTCCTTCTGCCGAAGATCCTATGGGTGGTCCTACATTGTTACTAGGCGTATCTTGAGGAATATTTGGCTGGTTAGAGTTTGCCGCCATTCTTATCCCATATATTCTCCTTGTTCTATCTTTGTTAGCGGTGACTACTTTACCACTTCTTAATTAAATGCAACAAAGTTTTCAAAGAGAAAGTTGACCGCAGAACTAATGAATTTTCAAGAATTTTGAAGAAAATTTAATGATCACTTAGCACAGTCCCACTGGGCGTGCCAATTTGTTCGCCGTGAAAATTGGTGAACAACCGCTGGTCTTCCAAATCGAAAAAGATTTGTTTTACTCACAGGTCGACCATACAAATCTTAGGACACGTGCTAGTTGATCTTAAACAAAGTTTGGAAAAATAATGAACACTTCGACAGAGTTCATGATAAAAACAACTTGTTTCAAAATGTAAATTGAATTGAACACAAGAGATTAAAGTTGAAAGACTAGTAAAAATGTAGAAAGTAACTTGCGCAAGAAAAAGATAAATTCTTAATGAAAAGACTTATTGAATTGCATTGAAATGTAAAAATAGTGTAGAATCAACGTACATTCTCACGAACTCGTTTCTCTACACGCGGGTACTTTGAGTATATTGAAGAATTTATACACAATTGAACACCCCCGAATCCTAACACTAAGACTTGCTATTTATACTAATTGAAAATAACTGCCATCAAACGCTAACGAACTAAATCAAGACAAGTGGCGTCCTGCATGTCTTTGACTCTTGGAAGCGCTCCATGTGTCTTGTTTAAGAAATGAATAAGAACGAACATTCCCTCCCTTATTTGAATTCAAATCTTCCCGTCGAAATGCCTTCAGTAACACCTTTGTCGAATCACATTTCCCAATTGTTAGGAAATATTTCTAAGTCCATAAAATAGTTTCTCCTTGCAAAGGAACGCCTTCGGCTCACACTCCAAAAATGTAGTTCTGGTCGAAGTAATCCGATTTCTTCAGAAACTCTATTACTTCTTTTTTAATCCAATTTATGCGTCAAAATTTAGAGCCAACAATTGGTTCAGACAACCGTTTTCTAAAATTCTACCTGTGATCCTGTCTACCAAAACCAACCATATTAATTCATATAACTTATATAGTCATTATCATGAAATGAAACTCCATTTGTTACATTCACAACCTATATGGGAAAATGAAAAAAATTAAGAATTTTATATTATTATAAAAAATTAGTTGATGTAAATTAGATATAAGAATATTTTTGCACATTTGTTTCTAATGTATCCAAACAATCAAACCAAACCCAAACCTTTATTTCTTGGTTTGGATTTTGTAAAAAAAAAGTGAAAATCCAATCCGAACCAATCAATATATTTTTTTATCGGTTTAGATATCAGATTCTCTCAAAACCAAGCTAAACCAGGACACAAACACCCTTAAACCTAACAACATACAACTCTATGAAAGCGATAAAAACTCTAAGATGCAATTTCTATAAAATAAAAAAGAAAAGAGAGAGAGAGAGAGAGAGAGAGAGAGAGAGAGAGAGAGAGAGAGAGAGAGAGAGAGAGAGAGAGAGAGACCCACTGAAATTTATAGTGGTTTTATAGTGGTTCAACTATCGTCCCCGCTAAGCTTAATCCACTATTCAATGGTTTCCTATTGAAAACTTTGGTCTTCTATTATGATTTGTGACAAATTTATACGAGTTTTAGTACAATCACAAATCCAAATGACGCTGGAAATATAAAAATCTTCTAACTGAATCCCTTGATTTGTAGACAATACCCGAACTTAATTCTTGTGAAATCTTTATGTGAAATCGACTTGAATCTTTCAGCTCCAGCAATTCTACTCCAAAGTCTCCATTATTTAGTGATCTTTGATCGATCCTACCAGTATCTTGAGCGTTGGTCGATCTGAAGATTAATAAAAACTCCCACCTTGTCCGTAGGCTTCTACGCAACACTTCTGAAGTGAATATGGAGAAAAGAGTCATCTTCTTTTTCATTGGAATTGTCAATACAAGCCACAAAACCATGCACCTTGCAAAGCTCTGAAATTTTAAGCAAATCTTCAAAGAAACATTAAATTCAATAACATAATCTCCTAACAATCATAAATCTCCAATGATGAGATTTAGATCCATGTAAAAATGGAATTAGAATGAGTTAGAAGATGAAAGAAATCACTTGCAAGCACTTAAGAAAGATTCAAAATTCTTTTGAAAATGAGAGAACAAGTGAGTTGAGTGTTTTCAAATCTATATGAGAAATGTATGTTTTCTAACATTTTTGATGGTTTTGAGAGAAAATGGTATTTATATGTGCTGGAGATCTAGCAAAAAATGATTGAAAATGATGTATGATTCAAGTCATAAATAATAAGTATATTTGAGTCAGAGAACCAAGTGATTTGATTCAAGAAGCAAGAACGTATGAAAACTTATTTGTGTGTTTCGAGTCACACAATCTGTGATTCAATTCACATGATTTGAGTCATGAATATTTGTGATTCGAGTAAGTGTTCTAGAAGTAAAATGGAAATATTTTAGTTCAGTGTGATTCGAGTCAAACAATTTTGTGATTGGAGTCACACAATTGTGATTCGAGTCATGATGTATGTGACTCGAGTCATGCAAACATGAAATAAGTTCTTTAGCTCCTTGGAGGTATGATTCGAAATAGATTGATAATGTGATTCGAGTCACACTGACATAACCTCAATTTTTTAAGTTTTAAAAAGCTTTTTGAAATTTTACCATAGTCATAATTTGAACCATTTTCACACATAATTCTTGATCCGAAAACTTAATAGATTGATTCAAAGTATATTTCTTAAACATAGACCATACAATTTGATTTATGCCTTATTAAAAACGAATTTTGAAAACAATCCAAAAATGCACAATTAATTAGGAAACTTAATAATAAAAATAAACAAAATTAAAAGATTAAAAGACAAGCGATCAAAACAATAATCTTTGAGGTATCTGAAACATGCAACTTCATTCTATGCTATTACAATAACACTTGAAGATGCACAAGCTAAAGGTTGGACCAATGTCTAGATAAAGTACCACTCTCAAATTAAAATTTAATGCCTTAGGAAAGACTCGCCTATCCGTTGGGACCTTACAAATTTATGGTTTAACTGTAATACTATTCATCCAAACATTGTATATTCACATATTTACAACATATTTATAGAGAATGAAACAACTGTGCAGATAAATTTGTTAATCATGGTGAGATGATTATGAATTTTATTTAGTGGAATACCCTTCTTTACTTTATCCGAGATGAGTTCTTGTTCCCAGACGTTTATATAGTAATACTTTTTCAGATTAAACAAATTCTTTTAAAGAATAAGAAAAGAGAAAATAATTAAAAAATATATGTTTTTGATTCATAATTAATTAAATATTACTAAAAAAATATATGTTTTTGATTCATAATGAATTAAATATTACTACTATTGTTATTATAACCTACAGTTTTTTTATTTAATATTCTTTTTAGGTTATTAGATTTATTTTGATTCTTTAATTTTAAAAAAATAATCTTTTAATTATTCAAAATGTATTACATTAATTGCTTTTGTCTAATTAGCTATTGATTTTAAATTTTTTCCATTGTTAATTAAATAAAAAAAACTAAAATGATACATATTGATATCAATTTTTTTTAATTTTAAATTTAGAGATTACAATTAATCACTTAATAAATAAGGGATCAAAAGATATTAATTTATTTTATAAGCGATGTCGGTAAAGTAGTTATTTATAAAGAAAAGCGCTAGAAAGTAAAATAAAAAACGCGCAATTTTCTACACTTCAATGGAAAAAAAAAATGAAGAAAACCTTTGATTAACCAGGGACAGAAAAACGAAGAATGAACCAGTGAAATAAGGGAGCATCATGGCTTAATCAACCCGAAGAAGAACAAATAGGCCAAAAATAAAAAATAAAAAATACTGTAAAAGGGAATAAGAGAGTAAGCGAAAAATAAAGTGAAGAAGTGAAATTGAATAAACTCATTCACTCCCTCCTTGTGTATCGTCTCACCGACGATCCACCGTACAAGGAGGAAACCACCGTTCACCAGATCTAACTATGAACGATTTCGACGGTTTATTATGTACTGATTTTAAGCTGAAACAACAGGGTAAATCGGCGCCAATCTCATCCAAAGGATCTTTAAATTTCACCAAAACTTCTTCCCTTAACTTCGATTCAACTTTGCGATCCTCTCGCTCTCACAATCAAGATTCCGCTCTATTCTCCGATCTCTTCAATGTCGATTCCATTTCTCGCAGCTCCAGCTCCGGTTTCGCTCCACATTCCGTCAACTCGCCTGTCTACGATAAACCTGTTTACGATGATGAGAGTGTCTCTCGGGCCACTGCGTTTGACGATCTTCTCGGCGGATTCGGTCATTCGAAGAAAACCGTGAAGAATGAGAAAGGCGTGGATGATTTTGATGATCTGATCTCTGGATTTGGGAACAGTAAGCCTTCCTCCCGTCAAAGGTGTGGCGACTGTGCGTATCTTCTTATCATACCTTGTTTTTTATTGTACTCTACACACCTGATGAAGTGCATTGCGGTTTCAAGGATAGTTTATTTATTTTTATTGTTTTGCATTTGCTTGCAATTGAAGTAACAGTAGCATTCGAGCTAGTGAATGTTGTTTAGTAAGACCTGAGGTTGTGGTTTATGGATCAATAGGAAAGCTTGTAAAAATGACATGTCAAACTGTTTGATTAGAACTATGGGAATGAGTGCGAAATGAATGCTGAAAGTAACTGAAAAATTAATGAGTGCCCTGCATCTTTCCCCTATTTCCCACAGCAACAAAAAAATAGAGAAGCTAATCACATGATTGTATAACATAACTGAATGTTCTAATGAAGGGTTTAAAAGCTTTTCGTATAATATTGCTTAGTGATTAGTTTCATTGGCGAATCAAGGCATTATGAAATAATATAGTCTTCCTGAAATTGTGTTTAAAACTTATATGGTAGAGACATATCATTGGTTCTAGTCTTCCTGAAATTTTGAATTGTCATGTATCTATGGATACATATACTCACTGTCTATGTGCTGGTTATCCTTGCAGTTAAACAATGAATCACAGGTCTGCAATGTCATCAGTAGGTTATTGTCTGATTTTTTTTTACCTTCTACAAATGATCTGTGACTCAAAAGTAACTAAAATGGTAATTGCCGAGCATTAAGAATTGGTTTGGAGGGAAAGAGGATTCTTCTTTGCTTATTATGTATTTGTTTATTTTGCGAGAACTGTATGTTTGGCTGTGAAGATTGCGTGTTATTTAGTCGACCTTTCAAGAATATGGGATACCTTATGCATTTTAAAATTACTGACGTGTGGTTGTTTGTATCATATCAGCTTTTATGGTAATCTATGCAGTTTATATCTAAGCAGGCATACATCATTTGAAAGATAACTGGCAGTTATGCTTGCTGATTTTATTCATTAAAGTAGACAACTAAAATAAATCTTGGAGGAGTTTGGAAGGGGTATAGAGGCACTAATGAGCCGAGTTTCTTCGGTGATTTAATTTTTGCACGACACTTTTTAATTGGTTCATCATTGTTGGACACCCTGGGGTCAAACAGGAGCATTTGAATACAAAACATCCCAAGTGATTCCAATCACAATACTTTATACCTGGAATGATTATAACTTCCAGATTTGGACAATACCTTATACCCGAAATGGTTATGCTCACTTTTTTGTTTATTGCTCAAGAGTTCTTATTTTAGTAGATGTAACTTTTGGGATGTCCTTAATACTTTTTCTTTGCCGTGCATTTTTTATTTGAGAAATGGATTCATTATTTCATCTGGTAGCTTTTTAAACAGATCTACGGAGTAAGAAATTTTTTGTTGTTTTGCATTAATTTGTTTATTGCTCAAGATTTCTTATTTCAGTAGCAGCAACTTTTGGGCGGTCCTTAATAATTTTTCTTTGCGGTGCATTCTTTATTCGAGAAATGGATTATGTATTTCATCTGGTAGCTTATAAAACAGATCTATGGAGAAAATAAGTTATTGTTGTTCTGCAATGATTTGTCTATTAGGAGACATGAATTGAAAGTCTTATGGCTTTGTTGTTCCTAAACATCGCATTTCATAAAACACACATGAAGAGAATGAGAATAGAGAATAATTGAAAAGGGATTATCCAATCCTTTATTTTTCATGCATTAGTTGATCTGTTGATGTATTGTAATATCTTTTTTTTACATATCGTTTCGTAACAGGCCCACTCCTGATACTGTTTCATCATCGGAATCTACTTTCAGTGCATCTAAAACAATCTCTAATACAACAGAAGACACTTTCAAAATATTTGAATCAGCTTCTGCTCCAACTGGTTCATCCTCAGGCCATTTTACAGACCCATTAGAAGAAATTAGTAAATTTACTAGTTCTAGAAGCACAAAAACTTATAGTTCATCAAATTCTAATGGTGTTGTATATGATAATACTGATCCCTTTGATGGACTTGGAAATTCAGTACCAGCATTTTCATCAGAGAGGACCTACAGGAATGGTACCAGTTCACTGATGCCGAGGTCAAACACAAGTTCAAGTTGGACCAGAGATAAAGAATCATTTGAAAAATTGTCTGTCAGGAGTCCTGATAGACGGACACATAACAGAATTCCTGTTGAACATGACCAGGAGTTTCATCAAACTCCATACGGCATGCCTACATATTCATCTGATTCGAATAAACCAGTATTTGGCCAAAGGTCTACTTCCCCTTTTTATGCTAATGATGGTTTTAGACAAGTCGATTCCCGGGTAGACATGTCTCCAAAATATGAAGAAAAGTTGGTCTCAGAAGATGATATATGGCTAACGGTATTAGAGATTCCTCTTTCCACACAACCAACTGCTGCTCCACCACCTTTAAGACCGCCTCCTCCTCGACCAGTTCATATCCCCAAGTCAGAAACTGGTTCACCAGCTTTTGTCAATGTCAGGAAAGAGAACGGATTTTCTTCTGTCCCAAGTTCCACTCGATGTTCTCAGGATCCTAAATATGCTCCTGCTACAGCCAAGTCATCTTCTGCATCGCAGTTTGATGAACCTAAAGATTTTACCATGGCCAGGAGTCACGGTGATGATGATGAACGTGAAAATGGTGATCCTGATGAAGAATTAGAGATGAACTCAGCTGCTACAGCTATGAAGGAGGCGATGGAGAGAGCTGAATTTAAATTTAGGCATGCAAAGGAAGTTAGGGGGAGAGAGAATACAAAACCTGCTCGAAGCAAAGAATCCATACATTCGGAGAAAGGTGACAGAGCCGTGCCAGAGGGGAGAGGCAGGTTAGACCATGAGCAGAAGCAAAAGGAGATGGAGGAAATGGAGCGAAGAAGAATTGAGAGGAAAATGGAGGAGAAAGAAAGAGAACAACGGCGACTTGAGAGAGAAAGAGAAAAAGAAAGACAGGCTGTGGAAAGAGCTACTAGAGAAGCACGTGAAAGAGCAGCTGCTGTAGCTCGCCAAAGAGCTGAGAAGGCTGCTGTTGAGAAAGCTAATGCAGAAGCTAGAGTGCGTGCTGAAAGGGCCGCAGTTCAGAGAGTACAAGCTGAAGCCCGTGAAAGGGCTGCTGCTGAAGCAAAGGAAAGGGCTGAAAAGGCTGCTGCAGGGGCAAAGGGGAGAGAAGCACGAGAAAGAGCTGCAGCTGGAAGGACTGAAGCTGAAATGCGAGTTAAAGTAGAACGTGCTGCTGTAGAAAGGGCTGCCGCAGAGGCCCGAGAAAGAGCTGCAGCTGCTGCAAGAATGTACCAGCAAAAAAAGGAAAACGATCTTGAGTCGTTCTTCAGCATGAGCGGACGGGCCAACAGTGCTCCAAGACCTCCTAGATCTAGCTCTTCTGTGAGTACCAAGTCTTGTTAAACATTATTTATACTTAAGTAGCTAGCTATTGGCTGTGATGATTGGTCTCTTCCTTCATCAATTTTATGCTGAATGCAGGAATATATATTTAGCTAGTTGTTATTTTATTCCTTCCATTTTTATTTTAAATGAATCTTAAATAAAAAGGGAATATATAAAATTCACAAGTTTTAAAATTATTTCATGTTTTAAATGAAAAATGGTCGCCTGACATGCCCCATAGAGTCATATTTTTTGCATTTTTAAATTTTTTTGGATCTCTTTACTTTCAGGATTCAACTTTTGATGCCCAGTTTCAGCCAGATGTAAGTCGAAAATCTACAAGCACGTCATCAAACGTAAAGAAGGCATCGTCATCAAATAATATTGTCCATGATCTTTCCTCAATTTTCGGCGGTAGGATTGTGTAGCAATATATTGTTATTGATGTGAAAATTGTTTGAATTTTCTTGTCTCAATGCTCACTGGGCTCTTCCTATCCCTTTTCTTTTATGGTTTGAAGCTTCTTCTTCAGCTGGAGGATTTCAGGAAATTGAAGGGGAAAGTGAAGAAAGACGAAAAGCCAGGTTGGAACGCCTTCAAAGGGCTCAGGAGCGCGCGGTATGTTTTGCTGAATTTTGTTCATTAGTTTGTCTTCTTAATTGTTATTAATTGTAAACGAAGGCAAACTGTCAAAGACAATATTTTCTTCTGTTATTGATAGAGGAGCATGTGCTCTTAAATAGAATACAATGTTATTAGAAAAGGAAATTCCTAATGAATACTCATCATTGCCCTCAGTCAATTCTATAATTAAGGGCCAATAATTTCTATAAATACATACACATTATTCAGCTAGTCAAGTCCTATTTATGGGATTTAAATCCTATTTAAATATAAAATATACAGCTAATTAACACATGTACAGCTGACACAAATAATTTACAATTTTTGAACTAAATTGACATTGAGTTCACGTGGTAGTGTTGGGGTAAAAAATAAAGGGGAGTTGGAAAATGATAGGGAAAATAGTTCTGTACATTTGATATTGTGAAAGTGAAAGGAGAAATCTTGGAGAAGAGACTTCTCTCCGAATCTATCCATTCAATAACTCAAAGAAAAAATGTTCTTCTCATTTCTCTCTTTCAATTTTCCAGCTCTTTTCTTTAAGATGCTAACTGGAAGTGTGTGCATTATTTAATAATCTTTTCAAATTGTTTGTCTATCTTACTTGTAACCATTGTCATTTTATACTAGACAATAGCATTGGCCGAGAAGAATCAACGGGACTTACAGACTCAAAGAGAGCAGGCTGAGAGGCATGTAAGTAGTATATTTTGCTGCTTTCCTTTTTATTTGTGACTGGATGGGTTCTGCTCATACACTTGCACCGTTCCCATTGTGTGTACAAAATATATATCTGTCATTGTGCATATAGAAAAACTATCTCTTTCATTCGTTTTCCCATGGCATGCACATATGTTAGGTAATTGTCCAACTTCCTGATTTCCTATTGAATCGTGTTTTTGCATCTCTTATTTATAAGTTACATAACCATTAACCCTGAGCTTGGTGACCTTAGGTTTTTTCTTAAAAAGGAACATATCATTCCCTCTCTTGCTATTATATGTTTAATATAGGGATATCTTTATGTTGGATTGATGTGATTAGTTGGATGTTACTTCTAGGTTCTCTGTTAATTTACACGGTTTTTAATGTCATGTGTTTCATTTCTACTATCTAATTTGATCTACTCATTGATTTCAGAGGTTTGCTGAAACACTGGATTTTGAAGTTAAACGCTGGGCTGCGGGAAAAGAGGGGAACTTGCGAGCTTTACTCTCCACCCTACAATATGTATGTACCAAGTACTTGGTATAAATTATAATGCCCAGGGTTTGTTACCTTGTGCTGTCTCTTATTATATTTTCTATAAAAGATGCCTGGGCCAAATTTTAATATAAGGCATGCTGGAATTTTTAATATTCTTTGGTTTGCCTCATTTAATCACCTCTTTAACCCATCTCCTTCATGAATAATGATCAGGTATTATGGCCTGAATGTGGTTGGCAAGCAGTTTCTTTGACTGATCTTATTACAGCTGCTACTGTTAAAAAGGCTTATCGGAAAGCTACACTGTGCATTCATCCTGATAAAGTGCAGCAGAAGGGTGCCACTCTTCAACAGAAGTATATTGCAGAGAAGGTTTTTGATCTACTAAAGGTATTTGAGTCCTTTTTATATATTGCTTTCTACACGACAATAGTGTTGGAACCAAATCTTGCTTGAATAAGATCAATCTTCACTTGATTGATTCAACAACCTTCAACTACACTCTTCACTCGACATGTTTTCAGTGTTCAACTACAATCTTCACTCGACATGGTTTCAAGGTTCAAGATTGTTCCTCACACTTTGAATTGAAAAGAATAAATAAAGTTTGAAAAGAATAAGGTTGGAATTGAAAGTTTTGGAGGAGGAAGGAGAGAGTATATATCTATTATTGTCAGAAAGTCAAATAGTCTCGTATATATTGAGATTTCTTACAAGCCAAGCAATCCCAATTTCTAACTAACCAACTTCCAAAACTTCACTCTAGCCATAACAGAATTTTAAACCACTAATTAACATGTTGTTTGTTCACTAAGTAACATGAGTGGACACTATGTATTACATTTTCAACACACCACCTAATTTATTTTGTCTAAACTCTCTACATCCATCATGCTTCTCAACCTTTTGAACAATTCCACTTGCACAACTTTGGCCATGATATCAACTATCTGATTCTCACTTGTGCAGTGCTCCAAGTATAGCTTCCCACTTGTTACTTATTCTTTAAGATAGTGGAATCTCATTTCAACGTGTTTGTTCCTTCTACGTGTCATCGGGTTCTTAGCCAAGTTGATAGCATACATTTTATCAAATCATTGCTTCATGATTCTTGCCTTCAATCTCATCAGTTAGGTTTACCATCCATGCTGCTTAACAGACACAAAAAGAAGTATCTATGTATTCTGCTTCACATGATGATAATGCTACAACGAATTTATTTCTTGAACTCCAAGCAACTGGTGCACCACCTAACATGAACACATAATCAGCTGTAGATTTTCTATCCTCAGCATCACCACACCAACTTGAGTCAGTATATCCCACAAGTCTGCATTCCTTTCCGTCATCTGCTGCACAAAATAATATTCTATAATCTAGTGTTCCTTTGAGATACGTTAGTATCCTCTTGGTGGCTACTAGATGCGACAACTTTGGCCTCTGCATGAATCTACTCACCATCCCTACACTGTATGCTAGATCAACAAAATGTATCTCAATGATCTAACAAGTCTTTTATACTGTATTGGATGACATCATCTTCATTTGGATCCTTTGTCAATTGCAGTCTTGGTTTAGCTGGTGTTGAAGAAGCATTGCAATCCTCCATCTCAAATTCTTGAGTATCTTAGTTGCATATCTCGTTTGGTGCATCATTAGGCCTTTACCACCCTTGTAGAGTTCAATTCCAAGAAAGTATGGGCGGTTTCTAAGATTAGACATCTCAAACTCCTTGCTTAAATCACCTTTGAAATCTTCAATCTCTCTTTGCAACTGCCTGTTATTAGCAGATCATTTACATAGAAACAAAGTATTAACAACTCACCTTTGCTTCTTCTGACATACACACCATGCTTAGTTGTACACTTCACAAACTCTTTTTCTTTTAGAAAACCATCTATCTTCTTAATTCAAGCTCTTGGAGCTTGTTTGAGCCCATACAATGCTTATGCGGTTTGTATACCTTGTCTTCTTGGCCTTCCTTTTCAAAACCAACTGGTTGACACATAAACCTCTCCATCTAAAGGGTCATTTAAAAATGCGCATTTCACATCCATTTGACATATTGACTGATTGTTCATATTTGCTAAACCAATAACCAACCCGATTATTTCAATTCTGGCAACTGGTGCAAAGACTTCATCAAAGTCAATTCCTTTTCTATGAAGAAATCCTTTGGTCACAAGTCTTGCTTTGTGTCTGGTCACTTCTTCTTTGGAATTCAGCTTCACTTTGTACACCCACTTCACATCAATTGCCTTCTTCCCTTGGGGCAATTCAACTAGTGACCAAGTTTTATTGACCGCTATGGATTTCAGCTTCTCCATCATGACATTCATCCACTTTGAGTCTTTCAATGCTTCAATTGCATTGAAAAGCTCAATGTCTGCATAGAAAGCATAATGTACCAGCTCACCTTCACCGTCGACCACATCATCTGATGTGATCACCCAGTCTTGCAACCTTGTTGGCATGTTTCTTGTCCTTTGAGGTCTGTTTGTGTCTGCTTGAACCCTGCTGCCTTCTGATGAATTTCCTTGTCAGCTTCACTATTTGGTTAATCATACAAGATTCTCACTGAATCATTCGTTACATTATCATAATAGTTCCACTCTTTCAGTTCATTAATGATCACATCTTTGCTGATCACAACCTTCCTGTTCATAGAATCAAACAACTTGTTGCCACCAGTTGAATGATATCCTATCAGGACTATCTGACTTGACTTGTCGTCAAACTTTCTTCTCAACTGATAAGACACATGTCTAACCAAACACCTTCAAGTGGTTTAGGCTTGGCTTGACACCATACCAACATTTTTTCTAGTGTGATTCCTTCTAGCCTCTTGGTTGGACATCTATTCAAGATGTATGTTGCAGTTGACACATCCTCACCCTATAACTCATTTGATAGATGCTTTCCCTTCAACATACTCCTCACCACGTTCATGATGATTTTGTTCTTTCCTTCACCAGTTTCATTTTGTTGAGGAGTGTATGGTGGCACCACCTCATGAACTATCCGTTTTCATGAACTATCCGTTCTCTTTTACATAGTGCATCAAAACCGTTTGACACATATTCTCCACCACCATCAGTACTCAAGTTTTGATCTTGTGACCACTTTGCCTCTCCACCATGGCATTGAACTTAGTGAACACCTCAATCACATCACTCTTCTTCTTAATCAAGTATGTCCACAATTTTCTATTGTAGTCATATATGAATGTAACAAATTTTTGTTACCTCCAATTGAATCTACTTGGATATGTCCACATACATCTGAATATATGACTTCAAGAGTGACTTTAGAGTTGCTTCTTGCATCTTTGTTGAAGCTATTCTTATGTTGCTTGACCTGAACACATTTCTCACATACTTCATTTGGTATGTGGATTTTTGATAGACCTAAAACCATGTTCCTCTTCTTCAAGTGGCTGATATCTTTGAAGTTGAGGTGACCAAGTCTGTAGTACCATAGCCATTCATCGCTGCTGGTTGCAGTTGCTAGGCATTTGTGTTCCATCACATCAAGTTCAGTCTTGAAGGTTTTATTCTGAGACACAGGCGTCTTCAAGATCAATCTACGACTTGAGTGATGTACTCTTATCATCTTGTCTTCTATCAACATTTTGTAGTTCTTCTGAATCAATTGGTCCATGCCGAACAAATTGCTTTTCATGCCTAGAATGTACAACACATTTGAAATCACTTATTGTTTTCCATTTCTTCTCATGATCAGGACATCACCAATGCCTTGAGTATCTAAAGTGCTGTCATTTGCAAACTTCACTTTGTTCTTCAAGGAAGGACTGATGTTGACAAACTAGTATTTCCTTCCTGTCACGTGTGATGAGCACCCTGAATCCAAGCATAGTGACCATATTTTTGGCAATTGTAACACTGAACATGAATTTTATCAGACTTTCTTCCACCTCCTTTTCTTCTCTGCCTACAACACTACCTCTGTGTCTGCTTCGGTTTGTGGTCTGCTTCGGTTTGTGGATTGCCTTTGATTCGATGAGCTTCCTTCTTGTTGGTGACTTCTTCCATTTGAATTGTTGTAGCCTCCTTTACTTTTGTTGTCATTCCATCTTTCTTTGCTTTTTCTATCTTTTGTTGATTGTGCCTGCAAAGCCACATCATTCTTTGTCTTGTTTGCAGATCTATCAATCATCCTTTCTTCATGAGATTCAAGTGTCCTTTGTAGCTCTTCTTTTGTCATGCTTGATAGGTTATTTTATTCTTCTATGGCTACTACAATATGATCGAATTTTGGAAGCAAATATCTCAAGATCTTTGCAACTAACGACCTCGATGTCATCACTTCTCCACACATCTTGATATGATCACCAGTCTTGTTATCCTAGTGAAGAAATCAACTACACTTTCATTTTCTTCCATCCGAAGCAATTCATATATTCTTTTGTGAGTTTGTAACTTCACTTCTTTCACCTTCTCAACACCTCCAAAAGATTTTTTTAAGATGTCCCATGCTTCCTTCGATAATTCTACATCACTAACTTTTTCAAAGTTGTCCAGATCAACACATCGGTGGATATAATCCTTTTTCAATTCTTTATGTGTAGTCTTTTATTCATCTGTGACATTATCACTAATTGGTGTCACTTCATTCTTCACAAGATCCCACACATCTTGATAACAGAAGACAACCTTCATCTGTTTACACCAATTGTCATAGTTATTGTCATTCAAAATGGAAAGATTTGCTGGAAAATGCCCATAAGGATGAGAAAACATTGCTCGATATTTCTCAAGAATCGCAACAAATGATCTAGATACCAGATGTTGGAACAAAATCTTGCTTGAACAAGATCAATCTTCACTCAGTTGATTCAACAACCTTCTCTTCACTCGAGTGATATACACACGCACACGCACACAAAGTTTCAATGTTCAAGATTGTTTCTCACTCTTTGAATTGAAAAGAAGAAATAAAGATTGAAAAGAATAACGTTGGAATTGGAAGTTTTGGAGGAAGAAGGAGAGAGTATATATTGATTATGTCACAAAGTTGAATAGTCTCTCATATATATTGAGATTGCTTACAAGCTGTTGAAATAAGCGAGACTAAGAGACATTTAGATTAAACCGTTTGTATTGAAAAGCACTACGGAGACATTATTATATATAGATAGATTACAACTAATTACATGATATAGTCGATGTGAGACTATTCTATATACAAAGATTCTTAACACTATATATATTTACAAATATCAACGCTCCCCCTCAAACTTGAGCATATAAGTCAAATGCACCAAGCTTGTTACATATATAGTTAGTTCTGGGGCTTCGTAGGGATTTTGTAAACACATCTGTCAATTGATCATTAGAGTTGACAAAGCTTGTGATGATGTCGCCTGACTCGATTTTCTCTCTGACAAAGTGACAGTCTATCTCAATATATTTGGTCCTTTCATGGAAGACTGAATTTGAAACAATGTGCAATGCAGCCTGATTATCACAAATAAGTGTCATTGGTCTTACTTCTTCAATTTGAAGTTCCTTGAGCAACTGTTTTAACCAAATAAGTTCACATGTTACCATTGCCATGACCCTATACTCTGCCTCGACACTTGATCTTGCAACTACATTTTGTTTCTTACTTTTTCAGGATATAAGGTTTCCTCTAACAAGTACATACTACCCAGAGGTGGATCATCTGTTAATAGGTGACCCTGCCCAATCAACATCGGAGTATCCAACTATCTAGGTATGTTCTTTATCCCCATACACAAGACCTTTTCCTGGAGCACATTTGATGAATCTCAAAATCCAGATAACAACATACACGTGTTCCTAACAAGGGGAATTTAAGAACTAGCTTACCACACTGACTGCAAAAGAAATGTCCGGACGAGTGACTGTGAGATAATTCAACTTTCCAACCAATCTCTTATACCTTCCTGAGTCAGATAGAGGCTCCCCCTGTTTGGGTAGTAGTTTGACACTTGGATCCATAGGAGTATTGGTTGGTTTAGCATTTAACAAACTTGTTTCTTCCAAAATATCCATGGCATATTTCCGCTGAGAAATCACCAAGCCATCTTTAAATTGAGCTACTTCAATACCCAAGAAATAGCGGAGTTTACCAAAATCTTTTGTCTGAAATTGTTTTGAGAAATGTTGTTTCAACTGGAGTATTCCCTGTTGATCACTACCAATTATGACAATGTCATCTACATACACAATAAGATAAGTACACCCTTGAAGTGAGTGACGATAAAAAACAGAATGGTCAGCTTCGCTACAGACCATACCAAACTGTTGTACTACAGTGCTGAATCTGCCAAACCAAGCTCTCGGAGATTCCTTAAGACTATAAAAAGACATGTGTAGCCTACAAACCATATTCGATGACTCTCCCTGAGCAACAAACCCAGGTGATTGCTCCATATATACTTCCTCTTTAAGATCACCATGCAAGAATGCATTTTTGATGTCAAGTTGATGAAGAGGCCAATGTCGAATGACTGCAATGGCTAGAAGAAGGCTAACAGATGCCATCTTAGCTACAGGCGAAAAGGTATCACTATAATACAACCCAAAAATCTGATCCTTTGGCTATCAAGCGAGCTTTAAATCGATCAATTTTACCATCTAGACCAACCTTCACTGTACAAAACTAACGACAACCTACTAAAGATTTTCCATGGGGTAGAAAAACCAATTCCCAAGTACCACTGCCAATCAATCCCAATTTTTAACTAACCAACTTCCAAAACTTAACTCTATGCCTAACAAAATTTTAAACCACTAACTAACATGTTGCTTGTTCACTAAGTAACATGAATGGACACTATTACATTTTCAACAAATAGGACTCCGTTATCTGAAGTAGAATGGACACTATTACATTTTCAACAAATAGGACTTCGTTTTTTTAAGTAGAATTCGGGTTAGTGGTGTCAGATTTTAAAAAAAAAACTGAATTAAAAGGGTTGTCTGGCTTGCATGGGACTTTGTGCAAAGATTATATTATTTTAATATGTCTAGAATACTACACTGCCTTCATTCTTTCCTTAAAGCTTGATAATTAATAACAGGAGGCATGGAATAAGTTCAACTCAGAGGAGCTTTTTTAATCTCTGATAAACTTTACAACTTCAAGGTAATTTGCACTTTGCACTTTGCACTACGGATTCCATTTGGGGGGACAACAACCCTATTTCAGCTACCTCCATCATTACCTAATTGTTTTGATGTTGCATCAATTGTGAAAAATTGATTTCCTTGTTTGGTGTAAGGATACCCAAAGGTTAAGAATTGATTTCCTTGGGGTTTATACGGATGCTTAATAATGTTGCATATTTTGTAGTAAAATATCTTTTTGCGGGCATCTGTCAATTTAATTCATTATTTACATCAAGTGAAAAACTCACAAGCGATTTTTTTTTTTATTTTTCCTTTCAATCGTATTATTTGTGGTATAGTAAAATCTAAATGTATATTACCCCCTCTTGTGAATTGACATTACAATGTGTGAACGTTCTAGTGTAATTGAGCTTAAGTTCCATGGCCCTTATTTATACAAGCTTCTGAATTTGGTGATAGCATGTCCAGTCTCTAATTTAGATTCCCAAAATTATGGTTTAAACAACAGTAACAAGAGAAAAGCTTTTGTCGAAATCATAATTTTAAGTTTATTAACAAAAAAACAAATGAACCTAAAATTGTTTGTCTTCACTACTGGATTTCATTGCACTATGTTCAGCTGTTAGTTTATCTGGTGCTAGGACTAAGTTCACCTATGTCCAGCTAGTTTACCAATTGAGTCTACGACTATGTTAGTTCTGGAGAAGCATACATTTATTTAGTTACATGCAAGTTTGAAGATTTTAAGAAAAATATAGTATTGACTTTGCGTTACTCCATATACGATGCAGTACAATTATGTACAAACCACCGCCACTGCCTACAGCAGCTTATTCTAAGAAAAATATAATACTGACTATGCATTCCTCTACATACAAACCACCACTACCACTGCGTACAGCAGCTTTTCAAATCTGCAAACCGAGGAGGCAGTAGATGTTGTTTGAGATTTAATATTCTGAGTTGAATGTCTTGAAAGTCTTTAGGTTCCTCAAAATACTGGCGATTGAGCCAATAGCAGCCATAGCTGATGCGATAAGGCATAAAAGACTTATGATTTCCAACCAAATCCATTTAGAACTCCATTTTGGGATCTGCCTCTGCACAATATACATCTCCACCGGAAAAAAAACTGATAAAGGCCAAAACCCCACTGCTCCAAGAAATCCCATAACATCATTGAAGAAAGGAATCAACATTGCAACAAAAGTAGTTACAATCACAAATATTGTCCTCCAAACTATTCTAAATAGATTTAGATTGTAACCACTAAAAATTTTGTGTTCCACTTTTGTTTGGGGCCATCTTTTTGCTGCCCCTTTCTCTATGAAGGCAAAGACAGGTTGAGAATATACTTGGTATGCTCCAACAAGGTGGATTACAACGGCGGCATTTGCTGCATCGATGACCCAAGATGGATTGAACATACTAAATCCAGTGAGCAAGTTCCCTGGTGCTTGTTCTCCAAATGCAGCATAGCCCATTAAACCACAAAGCATATAAAATGATGTAGTCACAATAACACTTAAAACTGTCGCCGCCTTCATTGTTTTTACTTCAGATGGTGGATTTTTTATGGTGTCCTGTGTAGTCAAAATGTTAGTATATTACTCAGTACTTGTCACTGAATGATGTTGTTTTTCTTAATGTTTAGATAACAATACAGAAGAAGGCATTTATACATACCTGAATTTCAATGAGAATTTGAGAGTATGAATAAGCAAATGCTATGTTGCCAATAGCTTGGAAAATTCGCCATACTCTTCCTGTTGTTGACACAATTTCAGCGCCACCTCCCGTGAGAGTACCCTTGACGGTACCGTTTGCTGTATAAGAATCAGTTAAACAAAAGAACATAAGTCATTGATTTTCTTTTATAGAAAACCATGCTTTCATTGAAGTATGAATGGCTAACGAATAAGTTTATAGTCTGTAAAATTACAGTTTTATTTTTATTTTTATGTTTAGTCTCTATAAAATGATAGGAATGTGACCTGCAACTTGAACAGTTACGAGAAAGACACCGATTATGGAATATATGAAAGACATAACTGCTGCTATTACTGAGAGCCACCATGTTTCATGAAACTCTGGAATTTGAGAAACGAAAATTTGTAAAATTCCAAATCCCATCATGTATGGGTTCGTTGAAATGCGACATGGATCCTTTCCTCCTGATTTATGGAGACACCTAGATTTTATTATTTCCCTGTCACCCAAAAAACCAATTTTAAATTAAAAAAAAAAATCCATCAACACTAATCTAGTTAAGATTATCCTATCCATAAAACAAGTAAGACATAGTTCTGTTATTCCAGATCAATTGTAATCACAAGAACATTGCAGGGGCATGGATTCAAATCTGTTATATACGATATGATTTAACTCACATTATGCTAATGGGAGCTGCAATTGAGTATCCTACTGCACTGCCATACAGATATAAGTACTGAATTATTCCACAAAATTTGCACTGTAACCCGCCTGCAAATTTGTTATAGAATGTAACCAAGATTATTACTACAATAGTATGCATTGAATTTCAAATGTGTATCTCTGATCTTAAGAAGTCAAATGTATTTAGTTCCAATTTAAATCAAATGAAACATTTGTATCTGTCTATATATGTTACCAAGAATGTTGCGGACTGCATCGACAAATGTATAGCTTCTCTTTCCAAAAATGGGATCGCCATAACGATAACATTCCGCCATCATTGATGAAGTATACATAGTGACCAAGCTGAAAAGGATCATCGTGATCGGACCAGCAATCCAACCTAATTGTGCTACAGCCCATGCTAAAGATAGTACTCCTGATCCTATCACAGCTGTTATTATATGAGAGCTTGTTGTCCAAATTGTTCCTGTTTGATATATACAAAAAAAAATGCATGAAATTTAAAATTTATATTATATGAGAGCTTTCTGTATTCATCTTTAATAAATTTTCATACGTAATCCATTCTATGAAGACATGAAATTGACACCAAAGTTGGCATAATAATGAATGAACTAATGAAATTGACACAAACTCATTTGTGTATCATGGAAAACAATGAACGTAAAATCATGCAACTAAATGAATTAATTTGTGCCTGTTCTTTTAGGACGGCCATCGTCGTCGAAGTATTGAGGATCAAGTTCTGAAGGGACACCATCTATGGAATGGCTTGGGTTGTTTTCGATAGATTCTTCAAGCATAATTTATGGAGAAGATTATACAACAAAGTGTATTTAACAGAATAGTTGAAAGAATATTGATTGATAATCACGTTTTGTTTCTGTTCAAAAAAGATAATCTTGTTTTGTTCTTGCAAAGAATTGGGTTACGTTCATAAACCTCAGAAGATACAAACTATAAAAAGCTTGGTTTCAATAATAAGAAAATGCAGGATTTAGCACTAAATTGGCACAAATAAGGTCTGATGGTTGGGAATGGTTGGTATTTACTGCGGGGCTACATTTCGAATTTTGAAAAAAAGTATATTTGTGGTGACAAGATATTTAAAAGAAGAAAAAAATTGACCAAAGAAAAGTTACGCAATCTATCTACTATTTATGTATTCAAATACAAAAAAATTCTAATAGACTGTGTTCCAATTAAAAATTACAAGAGAGAAAAAGAACACGTAGCAGCTTATTAGCAACCCAACATTTATTTCAGATTCAAAACAAATTCAATTTTAAAATTAAAAATAGAAAATCACGTAGTAGCTCACCAGCAACCCAACATTCATAAAATTATTCATTAGGAAAAAAACGCCACATAAAAAGAAAGAAAAAGAATTATACATAACTGAAATAACGAGAGGTCAACTTTAGGGTGAACTCCTATTAATAATATGGGTAATGTTTGGCCCACACATTCAATTATATTGGTTATATTTTATCCTATTTCATTTTTTTGCGAGTTTTTATAAGAGCGAGGCTAAACGGAACGAACATGCCATTTGCCACTTCTAACAATAAATAAGAGTTTAGAATTAAGACAAATTTCCTACTTATATTCATTGGTAGAAGGTCAGTTTTATACGTGAGGTTCACTAATCTCTTGCTAAAGTGATTAACAAAAGAAGGTGGAAATTTTGAAAGAAATTCACGAATGACTGACATGACAGTATCTGGAAGGACATTCCTTATTCAAAGAAAACCTTCGAGCCAAATATTTATGTCCGACCATGAGGGAAACACGTCCAAAAGTATGATAAATGCCAAAGGCACAATGATGTCCACCTTGCCCCAACATAATTGAGTGGTTTTCCATTCCCATGCCTTTTTTTGCATGAGAATATTCTAGGTCATTTTTCCTTGACACTAGAGCAACTAAACTTCTTAATCAACATCGTCGACTATTTCTCAAAATGGATCAATGTGGACCCATTGGCAATAGACACATGCCACAATATTATGTGTTTCTTCAAAAGAAACATCCTCACCAGGTTTGGAATACCCCAGATTGTGGTGACAGATAATTGAACATAATTCACAAATAGGAAATTTTAAGAATTAATGGATGATTTGAAGGTAACCCACCATTTCACTTATGTGAACATCCTTAGGTTAACATTTAAGTAGAATCGACAAATTGAGTTTTGTTGGAAGAGTTACGAAGGAGACTAGATGACGCCAAAGAGAATAGGGCAAAAGAACTGTTGAAAGATTAAACTTGATTTGGGCCTAAACATATTATTTGGATTTTTGGGCTTAGTTATTTTGGACTTAGGTGATTTTAATTAATGTTTCTAGAAAACTCTTGTAATGTTTGGAGTGTCTAGATATTTCTTAGGGTTGTAATATTCTCTAGAATGCTCTTGGAATTCCTAGAGTTGAGAACTCTCTAGAATTAGTGTGTCTAGAGTTCTCCTTAGAGTACTATAAATAGAGATGTAATTCTACACTTTTGCATCAAGAAAAATACAAAGTTCTCTCTTCCATAAATAATTCTTCTACCTATCAAATTTCTCTTTAAGCCTCTAATATTCCCACACACTTTTCCTAAACACAAAAGGTCTTATTTTCAACAAAGTGGCATCAGAGCTTGAAGGTCCTCAAAAGATGGTGAATGGAGGTTTTCCTTTTCAAATGTCGATACTCACAAAGAACAACTATGACAATTGGAGTATCAAGATGAAGGCGCTACTAGGAGCTCAAGATGTGTGGGATATTGTTGAGAAAGGCTTCAAGGAGCAAGATGAAGCCTCCTTAAGGCAAGGTGTAAAAGAGACATTAAAGGAGTCAAGAAAGAGAGACAAGAAAGCTCTCTTCCTTATTTATCAATCGGTGGATGAAGATACATTTGAAAAGATCTCCAATGCAACGACGGCCAAAGAAGCATGAGACAAGCTTCAAACTTGCAACAAAGGAGTGGAGCAGGTGAAAAAGATTCGTCTTCAAACTCTTAGAGGTGAGTTTGAACGTTTATTTATGGAAGAGTCTGAGTCAGTTTCTGATTATTTTTCTCGAGTATTGTCCGTAGTCAATCAACTTAAAAGAAATGATGAAGATGTTGATGAGGTGAAAGTCATGGAAAAAATACTTCGCACTTTAAATTCAAGTTTTAACTTCATTGTTACCAACATTGAAGAAAACAAGGATTTAAACACCATGACTATTGAGCAATTTATGGGTTCCTTACAAGCATACGAAGAAAAACAAAAGAGAAAAACTAAACAAAAGGAGACTATGGAACAACTACTACAACTCAATACAAAGGAAGCAAACTATGTGAGTTACAAGAGTCAAAGAGGATGAGGTCGTGGCCAAGACCGTGGACGTGGACGTGGACGAGGACATGAAGGAGAAAGAAGAGGAAGTTACAACAACTACTCCAACAACTTCAAAAATAGAGAAAGAAGTTGGAATCCACAAGCAACAAGAGGTCGTGGAAATGGAAATTCATGGTCAAGGTGCAACAAGTTACAAATCAAGTGCTTCAATTGCAACAAAATCGGTCACTATGCTTCTGAGTGTAGATTCTCAAAGAAAGTTGTGGAGAAAGCTAACTTTGTAGAAGAAAAAGGTGGAGAAGAAGAAACTTTGCTGCTCGCGTGCCAAAACCAATTTGAAGAGAAAAGAAACAAGTGGTACCTCGACACCGGCGCAAGCAACCACATGTGCGGCGATCGAAGCATGTTCATAGAGATCAATGAAGCGACAACTGGAAATGTCTCATTTGAAGATGGCTCAAAGATACCAGTCAAAGGCAAAGGTAAAATTCTCATACGCTTAAAGAATGAGAGTCATCAATTCATATCCAACGTCTACTATGTTCCTAACATGAAAAATAATATTTTGAGCTTGGGACAATTATTGGAGAAAGGATATGACATCCACTTGAAAGAACATAGTCTTTTCTTAAGAGATTGTGAGCATAAATTGATCGCTAAGGTGCCTATGTCAAAAAATAGAATGTTCCTCTTGAACATTCAAAATGATGTGGCAAAGTGTCTCAAGGCCTGCTATACCGACTCTTCATGGCTATGGCATCTACGATTTGGACACCTCAACTTCGGTAGTATAAAATGTTTGTCAAAGAAGCAGATGGTGAGAGGCTTGCCTAGTATAAACCACCCAGACCAACTATGTGAAGGATGTCTAATTGGGAAGCAATTCCGAAAAAGCTTTCCAAAGGAATCAACATCAAGAGCGACAAAACCACTAGAGCTCATACACACTGATGTTTGTGGACCAATCAATCCAAACTCTTTTGGTAAGAATAAATACTTTCTCCTATTTATTGATGATTATTCTAGAAAAACATGGGTTTATTTCTTGAAGGAGAAGTCAGAAGTGTTTGAAAACTTTAAGAAGTTCAAAGCCCTTGTGGAGAAAGAAAATGGTATTTCTATTAAGGATATGAGATCTGACCGAGGAGGAGAGTTTACTTCAAATGAGTTCAACAAATATTGTGAAGAGCATGGAATCCGCCGCTTACTAACAGTGCCAAGATCGCCACAACAAAATGGAGTAGTGGAGAGAAATAACCGGACCATACTTAATATGGTGCGAAGCATGCTTAAGAGTAAGAAGATGCCGAAAGAGTTTTAGACCGAAGCAGTGGCATGTGCGGTTTACCTGACAAACCGTTCCCCAACAAGAAGTGTGCATGAGAAGACACCACAAGAAGCATGGAGTGGAAGGAAGCCAGGGATCTTTCACCTCAAGGTGTTTGGAAGCATTACATATACCCATGTTCCAGATGAAAGGAGAACAAAGCTTGATGATAAAAGTGAGAAGTATGTATTCGTGGATTACGACTCAAGCTCCAAAGGGTACAAGCTCTATAATGCAAATAGCGGAAAGATTGTCATAAGTCGTGACGTGGAGTTCGAAGAAGAAGATTGTTGGGGTTGGAGTGTTCAAGAAGACATGTATGATTTTCTTCCTTATTTTGAATAAGAAGAAGATGAAATGAAACAACCAATGATAGATGAACATATTACACCACCTGCCTCACCGACACCAAGGTTGGATGAAACAAGCTCAAGTGAGAGGACACCACGATTAAGGAGCATTGAAGAGCTTTATTAGGTAACCGAAAACCAAAATGACATTAACCTATTTTGTCTTTTTGGTGATTACGAGCCTCTAAGCTATCAAGAAGTTGTTGAAAATGTAAAGTGGAGAGACGCCATGAATGAAGAAATAAATTCAATCACGAAGAATGATACGTGGGAACTTACTACACTTCCACGAGAACACAAAGCCATCAGAGTAAGATGGGTGTATAAGGCGAATAAGAATGCAAAAGGAGACATGGGGAGATACAAAGCAAGGCTGGTGGCAAAAGGCTATAGTCAAAGACAAGGAATTGACTATGATGAGGTATTTTCCCCTGTTGCTCGTCTTGAAACTATTAGACTAATCATTTCTTTGGCAGCCCAGAATGAATGGAAGATCTATCAAATGGATGTGAAGTCGGCCTTCTTGAATGGTTTTTTCGAAGAAGAAGTTTATATCGAGCAACCACAAGGATATGAAGTAAAAGGGCAAGAAGAAAAAGTCCTCAAGTTGAAAAAGATGTTGTACAGACTCAATCAAGCACCGATAGCTTGGAATGTTTGAATCGACAAGTACTTTCGAGACAAGAACTTCATCAAGTGTCCATATGAGCATGCACTCTATATTAAAGCGCAAAGTGGAGATATTTTGAGGTGTGCTTATATGTTGATGACTTGATCTTCATTGGGAACAATCTAAGC